GCGATGGTGCGCAAGCGTATCCGCCAAGATCGGCTAAACTTGTTGCAAGAACCTTGTGAAGAATTCACGCAATATATCACCAACCACATGTGTAGGGAAGAATGCGGGGCAGGTTAGGAAACTTGAGATCGGGGGAGCGAAGGGTCAGTATTCCCAATCAGGCTTGCCAGTGCAAATGGATCCGCAGGGCCAAATTTCAGTCGATGGCAAACACGCTGCAGAGTGCAAGTTCGGTACCTTCGCGCGTGCAGAGCTTGCTTCAGTCGAAGCAAAGACGCAGTTACAGCAGCGTTACAATGAGCGTATTGCCAAAGCACCACTACCACCCGTCCAAGATATCCAGTGCATCATGTCCCTGCAGCAATCTTGAACGGAGTTTCAAGAAAGCTAAGTGGGGAAAAGCAGTTGGCCCAGTCAAGCTCGAAGATGAGCTGTTCAAATACGTAGCCGAGCAGGCTGCAGAGCATTGGTACCCCCTTTTTTGTCAAGATGCAGCTAAGCGGAATCGAACCATTAGACATGAAAGGAGGATGGGCTGTGGCTCTACCAAAGCCAGGCCTAGACAGTAGGTATCTTGACAATCTGCGTGAGATCCTCGTGGCTAACCATGCTGCTAAACATCAGTTTACGTTTCTTCGCTCACGACTTGTGAAGTTAGCTGCTAGGCTCTTACATGATTTGCAATGCGGAGGAATACCCCAAAGAGGTACGGATTTCTCGTCACACATGACACGCACATGCATTGATTTGTGTAGACATGTGAAGATAACAGGCATCGCATTTTCTCTGATATCAAGTCGGCATTCCACGCTGTGCTCCGACAGTTGTTGCTCCCACTTCCTGGCACCGAGGCGGAGTTTGAAGCAGAGTGACTTGCCCACGTCGGCAACCGAAACTCGTTGGGCCGTGGGCCATGGGTGCCCGACGCCACACTCGTGCGCCCACGTTTTATACCAGACCGACACTCGAACTTGCATAAGCCAAAGCCACGGGTAACCGACGCCACATCCGAAACCCCACTATGTACTAGCCGGCCGCTCTGCGGTTGATATGTATAGATCTAAATACAGTAGAAGAAGAATAATAAGACGAATAAGAAGAAGTGGCGTGTGCTTGTGGGCGAGAGGATAATGAGCGGGAGGCGGTGGCATCCAGCCCCTCCCGCTCCCACACTGGCAACCTCCACTTTCTCCTCCACATCCTCCTAGGACATCCGGCGTCCCCTTGTGGGTCTCTCGGCGTGTGAGATGGTTCCCCACCCACCCCTCGGGGGCGCCCAAACTGGAAATTTGAGCCCCCCTCAGGCTATGGCTATGGCACATGTGCATGGGCGCCCCGTGCAAACAGCCGCCAGAACGGGCCAACCCCTAGTGAGCCCAGCCCCCACGGCTCGGCGCCAATTTGCATGGGCGCCCGATGTAAACGGCCGCTGGGGCTGGCCAGCCCCCCCCGCGAACGCCTCAGAAGTTCGCGCCCATTTGCACGGGCGCCCCATGCAAACGGCCGCCGGAACGGGCCAACCCTCCCAGGGCTGGGTTCACCTGGGGTTCGGGCCCACTTGCATGGGCGCCCCACGCCAACGGCCGCCGGAAAGGGCCAACCCCGCAGAGGCCAGGCTCGCCCCCAACGTGAAGAGCTTTCCACATCACCGCTCGCTCTTGGGAGCCTTGACGCTCAGAGCTCCTGGCGCCATCGTTCGTTCAAATCTTCCTGTTTCGACAGATGCCTGCCGTCTGTCAACACAGGTTTTCGCCTGTCGTCTTGGGATGCTGGCGTCGTCTTGAACGACCACCGGAGGTCCGAGAGAAGACCCCAAGACACGATCCCGATGTGTTCCTCCTCCTCTTCCCCCTCCTCCTCTTCCGCCTCATCTCCCTCCCCCTCTCTCCCTCCTCGCCCTTCTCCCCCTCCTCTTCCTCCTCCTCCCCCTCCTCCAGTTACACCTCCTCCGCTTGCTCCTGCGCATCGACTTCTTCGTCGCCTCCTGACCCTATTTCTATGGACCACGGTACGGGCGCCCGACTGAGAATCAATCAGATGCTTTGCACTTCTTTTCGTCTCTCGCGACGCTGCTACTGTCCACGGAGAACGTCGACTTCGGCAATTTCTTCTGGCGTCCGTCGCTGCACTGATACGCCTGCCAACTGCGCGCTGTGAAGACCAGGCGCTTGCAATCCCCGCACACCACGCGAAGCTGCTTCGTCTTCAACTGATGATCGATGTGTCCCTTTTTCATACGTTTCGCGTCCGAGAACGCTTCTCCGCACGCCGCGCACGTCAATGACTTTGCCTCCGCTTCTGCTTTTCGTTTGCGATTGTTCGGCTCCCGCGTGACCTTCCTACGCTCCTCCTCTTCCTCCATGGGCCAGTCCGTCTCCCAGCAACGCTCCCCGCACACGCAACTTTCATGCGTCTGCAAGGCCGCCAGGACGCAGATGGAAGCTTCCCAGAGGTTCGCCACAAGCGGATGGCCCAGTTTTGCCCCTGCCCCTCATTCAAGAGGTCGGCGCATATGACGTAAGCCTTTAGAACCATCTACATAGTGAGGTCCCTGGAGGTCGTTCCTCCTCCGCCTGCTCTTCCATCTCCTCCAACTCTCCTCCTCCTCCTCCTCCTCCTCCTCCTCCTCCTCCTTTTCTTCCTCCTCCTCCTCCTCCTCCTTCCTCCTCCTCCTTCTCATCCTCCTCCTCCTCCTCCTCCTCCTCCTCCTCCTCCTCCTCCTCCTCCTCCTCCTCCTGCCCCTCCTCCTCCTCCTCCTCCTCCTCCTCCTCCTCCTCCTCCTCCTCCTCCTCTCTTCTCCTCCTCCTCCTCCTCCTCCTCCTCTTCCTCCTCCTCCTCCTCCTCCTCCTCCTCCTCCTCCTCCTCCTCCTCCTCACCTCCCTTCTCCTCCCCTCCTCCGTCCTCCTGTAGGTCTTCCTTATTGCTCATCCTCGTCATCGTCATCGGGGGCCTCCCTTAGGGGACGATTTGGCGACTTTTGCGAGGATGCCTCGAGCGAGAGCCCTGGGCTGGAACACGCCCAGTGCGCCCCGGCGCGCCCCGCAAGCCCCGCAAGCCGCGCGTCTGAGGGCCTCCTCCTTGGGGAGGCTCGGGTGGCCAGATTTCTGAGGATGTCCCACGCGAGGGCGCCAATGTGGAATTCGTCGCCAGTTCTCCTAGATTTCACGGAAACGTAACAGGCCTCAGGGCGGCTCGGGGAGCAAGTTGTCTGCGAATTTCACATGCGAGGGCGCCAAATCGAAATTCGTCGCCAGATGAACAAAGGGGCCTCTGAGGGCCTCCTGGGGCAGGCTCGGGAAGCCGGTTTTCTGAGGATGTCCCACGCGACGGCGCCGATTTGCAATTCGTCGCCGGATTTCCCGGATTTCCCGGGAACGGAACAGGGGGCCCTCTGAAGAGCTCCTTGGGGAAGCTCGGGGGGCTGGTTTTCCGAGGATGTCCCACGCGAGGGCGCTGGTTTGGAATTCGCCGCCGGATTTTCCGGATTTTTCAGAAACGGAACAGGGGGGGCGGTTGGCGGGCCCGTTCCCTCGCGCGCCGGGGGTCAGGACGACGTGAGTTCTCAAGATGAACTCCCTCAAATGATACCATCGCCAGGCCACTGGCCACAAGAACCCAAGTACGTATGAGCAACATAATCGAATACTTACCCGCGTCGGCTTTCAAACCTCAATTCGTCACAGGCCCCAGACACCCAACGTCACGTCCAAGCGCCCACGTATTACACCATGCAATGCGATAGGCCAGGGGCCACGGGCCCACACAACTATTACACCGAGCTCGCGACAAACCATGGGCCATGACCAGCCGCCACATCAGGCACCCGCGCCGACTTTGGAATTGCCACAAGCCACAGGCCGCAAGCGCCCGACACTTGGTCAAATTTGGAACTTCCAGAAGCCACAGGCCGCAAGCACCCGACACTTGGTCAAATTGCCCACATACGACACCATGTAGCGCGACAAGGCCACAGACCGAGCACACCCACATGTGACATCAAGCATCACGAGAAACGAAGGAATACGTCGAGAACCCGCGTCGACATTCGAATATCCTTGGTCCACGCGTCAAGGGCACCCGACTGAACATACGTCAGACCATGCAACGCGACAAACCACGGCCACGGCCACCCGTCACGTCGGACACCAATTTCCGATGTTCGGATACTTTTATCCGAGAGCTACGGGCCACAGGTAAACTACGCGAGGTCCGAGAGCCTGCGCATGATACTATGCGGTCGACGCGCCACAAGGCACGCCCACTGGCCACGTCGGGCACCTGCGTGAACATTCGGATCTCCCTGGGCCACTAGCCACGGGCAGCCGACGCCACGTCCGAACACTCACGCATGTATGACACCACCGACGGGCAACCGGCCATGGGCACCCACGTGTCACGCGACGTCAAACACCCGTGCCGCAATTCGAATTTGAATAGGGCACGGGCCATGGGCACCCAGCGGCGACGTCGCGTACATCGATCTGACAGCATTCAACGCCACGGGCCACGGGCACCGACATGAGACGACTCAGCGCGTGAAGCCACGGCCACGGCCGCCTGCCACGTCAGGCCACCCACCCCCTAAATTGCGTACGTAGGCATATGTTGCTTGAGCTGCTTGCATTCCCAGCACGTGCGCTGACACTACGTCCTTGCAACACGAAACAAAAATGCACATACTGCTGTAACGATAGCTTGCTTACTCGCCCAACATTGCCATAACTTTGAAGCCAACGGTTTCGAACCACAGCCTGACCGGTCACACTAACCCCATACATTCACGAATGCTGGCATTGGTTACGCATCATGTTTGGCACGTGCTTTTCGTAACCATCTCTGCACGCACGCACGCACGCACGCACACACATACAAAAACAAACAAACACACACACACACACCAAACACACAGACACACACACACACTTCAAACTCGCACTGCGATAGGTGATGCACTACTTGCGAGGCAGCAAAACTGCATGCAGACTTGACGGCGTCGGCGCAAGTCTCCTGGAAATGAAGAGGCGATGTCGGTATTGTCTCGCTCGTGAAGACAACCTGCACAGACAATAGTAAAGCAAGACGTGGACCAAATCTACTTTGAGCAACGGTCTCAAAAAAGGCATTCGCCAGACGGCTGACAAGAAGATTAGGTGATCGAATAGTGCTTCCGATATTGTGCTGACCTCGATGCGTCATGTCTTCTTCCCTGGCCCAATACTCCCAGCTGCCCTGGCCAATGGCAACTGAATATCTGGCATGATTGGCGATGTCTCGATGTTCCCTGAGGCGCTCCGATCCCTGAGCACAGCAGTTCCCTGAGTAGGCAGGCCGATGCTCGAACTGATTAGCCACCTTCCAGACTTTGTGTGGGAGGGGCAACTGCACATCAGCGTCAGAGGACAATGATGAGGAGCAGCAAGACCGAAGCCCTGAATCAGTCACAAGATTAGTGCTTCAAACACGGATTCGCCCACCGCACGTCTCAAGAGCGAAATCATCGGGTAAATGGCTTCCCAACGGCGTGAGTTCGACATACTCGCAGACTCACACATAAAATCTAAACGATGCACCATGTTTCTAATAGGAGTGCTGCGGGAAGACGAGCCAGTTACGATGCGGGCAACGGATGATGCGACGAGTCGGGTCTCGAACGCACCACCGCGCAACGAGACAATGAGACGGACAACGAGTACGCTAAGCAACGAGAGAACGAAGCAGGCTGGCTACGAAACCACCACACATGGACGTAACAAGGCGACGAGACAGGCAACATGCGCACCCTGCAGCGAGCCGACGAAGCGACGAGGCAAGAAACAGCGCGATGAGGAGGGCAGCGAAAGCATTACTCAACGAGTCAACGAGCTCACCCACGCGACAATTCCAAGAGGCGAAAGTGCAACGAGGCACCAAGACGAAGAGGCAACGGGTCACCCAGGCAGACAAAGAATGCTCCGTGCAAGTAGGCCACGAGACCACGGGACGACGAGGCTCCCAATAGGCGCGCAACGAAATACAATAACTCCGTGTAACGGTGCATTGTGGCTGTATGTCAACGAAGACACGAGAGTTGGACAAGCGCACTGCAACGATGCAACGAAGCACCGGGGCAAAGAAACAATGAGGCGACAAGGTTGGTCGTGAGTGCACCACAATGCCCGACCTCAGGGCGCACAAACTTCCTGAAATTCCGACTGGTCAGAACGCCTCGAAAGCTCTTTAGTGGCGGGCTCTGGCATCACGAGTGCGCCGATTAAATGGATTTTGTCACGTGAAGGCTTGCATATGAATCAGATGCATCAAGTACACCTGGAGCGGGGCGTGCCCTGCTATCTTCCGCGGCAAAGGGCCAACTTGCTTCTTCGGCACGCTCCAAATATTCTCTCCTGACTTCCAAAAACGGCTTCTTCGCCTCGCTGCCCCTGGTGATCTCCGTGGTCAGTGGCGCGTGGTCCGTGGCTCGTGGCCCGTGGCATGTGGCCCCTGGATCGTGGGTGGCCGGGTGGCCCATGATCTGTGGTCCGTCGCCTGTGGGTGGCCCCTGTGGCTCGTGGTCCGTGGACCGTGGTCAAGCGCCCTGTGGGCAGCGCGTGGGTGGCCCATGATCTGAGGCTCGTGGTCTGCGGCCCGTGGGCCGCCCCTCTTACACGCTTGGCTCGTGGCGCGCGGTCCGTGGACCGTGGTCAGTGACCCCAGGTCGCGTGGTCCCTGGGTGCCCCACGGTCCGCGGCCTGCGGCTGATGGCCCCGAGGGTTCCGCGGTCCGTGGCCCGCGGGTCGACCGTTTTCCTCGGCTCCGGGCCCGCGGTCAACACCCCCCTTGCCCCTGGGGGGCCCGCGGATGGTCCGCGGCCCGTGCTCCATGGGTTGCCCGCGGTCGGTACCCAGCAGAACCATGCCCATGACACGTGGTCTCTTAGAGGCTTGCCAACGGGCACCAACGCCAACACGGGGAATCGTCTCCACCGGGGGAAGATGATCCTAGACGTTGACGTTGGTGGTAATATGTCGGCCACCTAGGAAGCCGAACATTACCACCATCACCGAGATCGGGATCATCTTCCCTCTGTGGAGGCACACCGCCAATCTTGATATTGTTACAGACCTCTAGGCCTCCGAGTCTCTCAAGCATGGCGAAGTACCAAGAACTGCATATGCGCATGATTCTACACAAACTACACTGTTTCGCGCGCCTCGGTTATCGGGTGGAACCCCTTGCTGTTACTGAGAAGGTACATGTGTTGGTAGCCCTGGATGAGAAGCCGACTCTGGCCTTCGCATGCACATTCCACAAGCATTGCCGCTGAACGAGTCGCACCACCGTGTTTCCTGTGAGACTTGGTGTGCGATATTGCCTTTGAGACCTGCACAATGGATACCTGCAAGTTGCCAACACTGGCAGTACTGAAGGCTAAACTGGACTCAGCAGGGGCCAGCCAGGGCAGGTGGTGGCAACCCGAGCTAGTGCCCCCAAGAGCCAGTGGTGCTAGCCATGGGCAAACAGCGGCTAGTGACGGCAGCCTGCAATGGCGCCAGGACTAGTGTGGCTGGTGGAGCCTACCAGGGGCAAGCAGAAGGGTTATGGTGGTGCTGTCGGCAGCGACCACACTGGTGACACCAAGTGCCACTGGAGCCCGTCACAACTTAAAAGACGCACAGAAGAAGCCCCGAGAGGGCGACCAGAGGACCCCCAGTAGGACCCGAATAAGCAAACCTAATGGACTCCCAAACATGTTTTCAAACATGTTGGCGGATTCACATTTTCGGACTGCGTTGGCCCCAAGACGTTCCAACAGGGGGCCAAAACGGCTGAAGAATCATCCAAGACGGCCTCAAGGCAGCGCGAGACGGCTCCTAGACTGCCCAGGGCAGCCCCAAGAGAACCCCAGGCTGGCCCAAGAGGAGAGAGCTCGAAGACGACCCGAGAGGGACCCATGCGCCAAACGTGGCCCAAGGTACCCTCAGGGCTGGCCCACTGCATCCAGAGACAGGAGGGGCGAAAGGGAAGAGGGCGACGACGACGATGACGACGACCACGACGACGACGACGACGACGACGACGACGATGACGAGAAGAGAACCTCCGAGCCGACGCAGAAGAGTGTGCCACATGCTGCGGCTCTCGCAAAGCTGGGGACACGACGTGTCACGCGTGGCGGCCTCTCGCGACCCCCATCGAACAGTCGCCACCCTGAAAACTGGGCTGGCACAGTGGCATGACTTGCCGCGGTTAGCTGGATAGTTTTAGTAATACGAGCCGTTCCTGAGGTGCGGTTAAAAGTTCAGAAGTTCATAGTGTGTTTGGAATATATTCATAGATCGAAGATGAACGGTTTCCGACGCGGTCTCAGGCGGCATCGGTATCGTGATGACCGTTCGAATCTTCCCCATGGACCGATCTATATCTGCTAGCTCCCCCCCGGCTTCATAGCGGCTCTGTAAATCCCCGCGCGTTCTCCACCGTACATAATTGACTACCCTGTTCGTCCCCGAAAACATATACTCCGCTGCCATCCACGCCGCAACATCATCACCATCATCATCATCAGCGTCAGCGTCAGCATCAGCATCATCATCATCAGCATCAGCATCATCAGCATCGTCAGCATCATCATCAGCATAATCAACATCAGCATCTTCATCGTCATCGTAAACATCATCATCATCAGCAGCAGCAACATCACCATCAGCATCACGATCACCATCAGCATCATTAGCATCAGCATCATCAGTATCATCATCAGCAGCATGTTCGCCAACATCAGCACCATCGTCATCAGTATAAACATCATCAGCAACAGCAGCATAAGATGCAGCAGCATCAGCAGCAGCAGCATCAACAACAACAGCATACTCATCTTCATCAGCAGCATCAGCATCACCTTCATCACCAGCATCATCATCATGAACATGTCGCCGTCCCTGCTACCATCATATTCACCACCATGGCGATCCCTACGCTCTTTCCTACGACCCCAAAGACGCCACCAAACATCGACAGCATAACCATCCCCTGTCTAAACACGGGCAATGGAGGACTCCAAGTTGGCCCAAAAGGCTCCAACGAGCACGGCAAGAGAGCCCCTAGAGTGCTACACAAGGCGACTCTTCAGGCTGCAAGGGGGGGGGGATAATCGAAGTCACTCCTTTGTTTGAGCGATACATTCCAGGACGACCTCAAGAGAGACCCACAAACTCCCTGAAGAGCCCAATGAGAGCCCCAAGAGAGCCACAAGTGCTTCCGCAAAGGCCCCATGACAACGCCCGAATACCTACAACAGACTCACAAAGACCCCCTAGTTGGGGGTTGTTCAGCCTGACCTCATCTCGGTATGGGTTGTGCCCCCCTCTCCTCATTTCACTGGCGCTCCTCCACTGCCTTTGTCTTGGTAACGTGCCTACGAGTCGTTTATGGTTGGGCTCGCGGGGATACACGAAGCATCAAGAATTGCAACAAGCAGCGTTGCAGGTTGCAGTCGCACGGGGCTAGTGGGATTGAGTCAGGGGCAAGAGAAAATGAGAAGGAGCCAGTGGGGGCTAGTGGTGGTAATCGACGCTGGCGCCTCCCCTGGCTTTGACGGCCACGTAGGGTACTGGGGATTGTGAGGCAAAGATAGGGCTAGCTCGGGGAAAGGCCAGTGGCAGCAACTGGTCTTGGCGGCACCCAGGCCACGTCAGCATTGCGGTGCCAGTCAGGAGCTGGCAACTGGGGTAGTGGTGACCACAAGAGTCCAGTCCACGCCACCTGGGGCTAGTGGGGGGCAAGGTCGTACGGTCCTGCGGCTGTGGGGCCTTAGGACCCCAGGGCCTGAGAATCCCAGAGCCTCGGAGACTCAAAGGTCACAAAGCTCTCAGAGCCTCGTGGTTCCAAGGCCCGTGGTCGTAAGTCCTCCCTGCCTGGGGGGGACGGGGGCGATAAGCCAGACACCATCTCCGCATCTGAATACTGACTTTGCGCACCATCTGAGAGAGGGGGGAGGAGGTCAGAACTGAGACCGAAGGCCCTAAGACCCAGGAGTGTCCGAGAGCCCATGCCCTAAGGGCACACTGCCCTGAGGCCCAAAGACTCCGAGGACTCAGGCCCAGAAGCCCTAAAGGCCGTTTAAACCAAAACGCCATCAGATCAGAAGGCGCAGAAACCAGCGCGTCCCTCGGGCCCAAGAGAATCTTGAACCGTACGCGGGGGAGATGGAAATCTGAACTCAGGCGTGAAGCTGAGTTCTGACCTCTGGGCACCCCTCCGACATCCACGGCCCTCGACTATGGGCTTTGGGGCTGATAGGAAAAAAAAACGTTTGGCCAGACGCCCGGGACTGCAAGACTCGTGAGTCTCCAAGGACCCACCCCGGATCCCAGCAGGGACTTGGGGCGGCAACTTCAGGCGCCACCCAGGGCTGGTGTGTGGAGGCAGGGATGCACTAGAAGGGGTCAGTGCCACAGGGGTGGCAACCAGAGTGGGCACCATGCAGGGGTAGTGCTTCAAGGCAGGGACTGAGAGAGGGCGCCGCCCAGGGTTACAAGCGTAAGGCGCCGGCTTTTTCGGGCCAGCGAAAGGCCAGTGGGGTTCGTACTGGTAACTAGCGCTGGCGCCAGCCAGGGTCAGGGGCCAGTCAAGGGCGAGCATGGGCTACTTGTAGCAAGCACCTTTGGCACCAACCGTTGCTGATTGGGCTACTGAGTTTGGAAGCTACGATGAGGGTAGTGGCGGCAGCCAGCGCTGGCGCCTTCTAGAGCCTGCAAACAAGTGCGAACTATTGTGGCTAGTTCGGCGAGTCAAAAGCTAATGAAACCTAGCAGGGGCTGGCAGGTAGCGACAAGCAGCGTTAGCGGCAACCAGAGCGAGCGGACCGATGGGCGAGAGTCGCAGCATAGGGGCTAGGGCGGCAAGCGAGCCTGCAGCACGCAGATCGAGCATTCCAGCAGCAAGAACCTCTGAGTGCAAGCCAAGTTCGGGGTCAACGTACTGCAACATTCATCGCTCAGCCTCTTTTTCCGCCCCCTCCCCCATCTGAATTCTCCTCCCCCAGGAGAACGTGTGTGTGTGTGCAAATACTACTGATGGGGGGGTTTAGAGTCGAAGCTGCAGTGGCGCTGCTGGCGCATGGGCGGCTCCCTGCTCTCGCATCCCGCTGAAGAGCGCGTGCGCGCCAGAAGGCCTTCTGATCGATCACATACTTGACGGCTTCGCCGACTATGCGAATCTGAAAGAAGGTGTCTGGGGTGTACTTGGAGCTATGTGTATATTTGAGCTCACCAAGTTCAAATCCGCCACCGTGCAGTCTGCACGTAGTGGGGTGGCCTGAGGCTCATACAGCTGTGAGTTGTCCAGGGGTGTAGCGTTCTTACGAGCCAAGACCTCCAATCTCACAGAGTGTCTGGGCGCTTGAACGATGTGCCACGCGAGCCTCTCAGATGACAAACATTGCTCAAAAAAACCGAATGAAGCTGAACCGTCTCGGCCGCAGGGGATGCGCCAAGCCAGGTGCCCAGAACCCTTACCGCCCAAGTCAACAGCAGGAGACCTCAGAGCCCCCCCCAAGTCCCCAAGAGAACCTCGAGGACCCCCACAGACCCCCTCCAAACAGCCAAGGCATGGTGGCGGAATATGCCAAAGGCTGCCGGTATATCTGTACTCTACCATGTTCCATGCAATAGAACCCGAAGTCGATAGCTGCATACGAATCGCCAACCTGCCCACACAATAGCACTCGCAGCTTTCAAGAACCAGATTACCTCAAGGTGGCATTTTCCAACAGCGCGGTAAGGCTCCACTCTATTAGGCCTGTTCTTGGTTCATCGCATTTTTCTTGACACAAAAAAACACTGGTAGCATAACATCGTGAAACAAGAGGTCGCTAGGTAAACAGGGAACGCCGCACAAGCCGACGTGCAATATGCAAAGTCATGCTATGAACCATGGCTTGTACAACACATCGACAACGCAGTTGCCCTGCATGCGTGTCATGGTTCACATCGTGCGTCCTTCGCGCCCTGCCGTCCACTCGACCCTTACCAGAAAAGCGACCCCTGCACACGCAACATTCACTCGCCACTGAATGCTAGCTTCCATCACCTTCAACGCGTGGATCGATGAATAACGCGACTACATCATATGTGCGGCGCACATGTACACCATCATCTCCAAAGCTGTAGAATGGGCGCGCGTATCGGGAAGTATGTGTGCCGCGTGACGTACCACCGATCAGGACCGAGCCAGAGAGCGCGACCGCGATCGGGACCGCGATCGTGACAGGGGCGTAGGGTGGGCCCCTTGGCATCGACAAGACGATCACCGCAACCCTGAGCACAAGGACGATCGCCGCTGCCCTGATCCCATCCGCCCCTGGGAGGACCGCCGTGTCAGCTGGCCACGACGCCCAAGCGAGACGGCGGCCACCCACCTGAAGAGGCTGAAGGCCGAGGGAGGCTACCACTTCACCGCAGCCTGGCACTCGTGGTGCAGGCATATGACTCAAGAGCGGGGCAAGGGCAAGTCCAAGGACCAAGTCAAGTTCGACCCGACAAGTTCGACCCGACCTGCTAGCAGCCCAGCATGATCGATCGATGTCTAAAGGAAATGGCCAACAACCACTACCACGTGGGTACGTGGTCCCGGAACGCGGGCGTCTACGTGGACTGGGAACGCGAGAACGCCCTGCACCAGGAGTTCCAGCGGAAGAGGGAGGTAGCCAAAGGTGAAGGACGCGGGGCGGGCCAGGCACGCAGTTCTGGATACACCGACAAGTGGACCGGGAAGCGCCCCAGGCGGTGACCAGCTCTGAACCTTCCCCCCCTGACGGCGCACAGGGTGCCGCACTACCGTACCTCCTGGTCGCTGCAGATCTCGTGGCGCTGTACTCCGAGTACAACCAGCACGTCGCTGACCAATGTGCCCTACCCTGGCTTCCCCCTCTCCCCTCCCCCTACGCACCTGGACTTGGGACCGTTTGTCCCCCCTGATCCCGCACCTGTTGCGACAACGGCTGGGACTGCAGCGCCCTGCTGCAGGAACCCGGCGGCACCCGGGCACTGCCATCCACAACGGGCGCGGGGGACGGCCTCACGCGTCCCACAAGGGCACTGTCAAGGGGTGCAGGGCTACGCGCGCACGCACGGCAGCGCCGCAAGGTCCTCTTTGCCACGGGCGCCTTGCCCGTACCGCCATACCTGGCTCTGGCGCCACGTCGACCTTCACGAGTACGGCCTGGTCTGCGCCTTCGGCTACCTGCCCTCCTCCTCCCCCCCTCTTCCTCTACCTGAATACGGGACCGTTAGTCCCCCCTGATCCGCAGGGCCTCCCTGCCACCTGCACCGCCCGGGCCGCCTACCTGGTCACGGCATAGCGGCGTCCTCGTCCACTTCGGCCTGGTCAACGTCTTCGGTGATTTGCCCTCCTCCTCCCTCCTCCTTCGTTCACCTGGTTATGGGACCGTTTGCCCCCCCTGATCCCGCAGGGTCTCCCTGCTCCACACGGGCCACGCGCTGCTGCTGGTGCGGGGCTGCTCCGACGACCGCTCGCTCGCTGGGCCGGCCTTTCTCCTTCCTGCCCGCTTCTCCCCCCCCCGCTCGCTACCCCCCCTCCCATGGCGGCAGCGCCCGGCACTGCGCGGATCCGGCCCGGTGCCTGGCGCTTGCACCTTGCCGCCTCGGCGGCCCCGCGGGTCTTGGCGCTGCGCGGCTTAGGCCCGGCCCTTGACACTGCGGAACGGCAGCGCAACGTGTGTGGCTCCTGCCCGTTCCCACGCGCTTGCCGCTGCGGGGCAGGCGTCCTCCCTGCAGCACACCGGCACCCTGTCGGTTATGGGCGGCAAGTTACCAGCTTCGCCTGGCCGCCGCGCCTCAGACGGCGGTTGCTTTCCCATGTTCGTGGCACCTTGGACTACCACGGCCTGGGCCTCTACGGTTTTTTTTGTTGGGGGGGGGGCCCGCCTCAGCCTCAGTGCGGACGGCGCCGCGGGTCTGCCAGCACATGCGCGACACGCCGGCGTCCACCCAGGATGGCCGGCTGCGCATGGAAGTACCCCGACAGGTGGGGGGAACAAAAACCAGGCTTAGCAGTGATGCGCATGTTGAAGAGGCCTCTGCGGCATCCTATTTGGTGGCACAACGTTGCACTCCGACCCAGTGGTGCTCCTGTTCCTCTCGGGCGTCGTCCTGGTCGCGTGGCGCGTCCTCCCCCGCAGTTGATGGGGCTGGTGTACTCGAAGCGCCGCTGACGGCACCACCACCAGTTTTTCGCCTCCCGGGACTTTGCCACCGGGTTCCTGTCCAAGGCGTACCTTTTCCCGCACTTCGGTTTCGGCACCGCCTGATCCCAGGGCTTTGCCCTCTCTTGGCCTTGACGTGAGGCCCCGCCTTCTCCTGCCCCCCTCTGCTAATTAAAGCTGTGCGTGGCCCGCTTAGCTTCTATCGGAAGAGGCTCGCTCTCGACCCGCGGATCAAAAAGTGCCGCGTGACGTAGTATAATGCGTGCAGACGCCTGCACTGTGCAGCGAAACGCGGTGCTCTGACATGTGCGCCCCATTGCCTTCACTTGAATCCCAAGTTTTCACTGCGTCTCCAGGAACATGTCACTTGCTCCTTCCCCACAGCACGGAGCCTTGCCAGGAGCCAATTTCAGACCAGCCACCAGGAAACATAAATCGCATGTGAAACATACCCCTTTCCACCGGCTGGTGGCTGATACTTCCTTGCAGCGCAAGAGGATAGCAACACATATATCATACCAATGGGGCCATCAATAACTGAGCATCTCCCAACAAGGATCCGCACGATGAATGGGCACAAACATTGCGTCTTCCAGCGCATGAACACAGGCCGCACCAGCTACATACCCTCACACTTGCTGAGCATGCTGCAACACAAAATTGCTCGCCTGTACTTGCCACTGTGCCCCATTCAAGCATCCGCGGAATAACAAATCAAACCCTTGCGGCAGAAGACCCTAAACAGCTATACAAGGTTACGATGAGGGCCACGATGAGGGGTAACGATGGGGGCTAAGGAAACAGGGGTATAGGCGTATATATATATATATATATATATAGAGAGAGATATGGGGATGTAGGGATACAGAAATAGGGAAGGGGATGGGACAAGGATGGGGAGAGGGAAAGGCTGAGGGATAAGGATAGAGATAAGGCTAGAGATACATATAGGGATAGACAATGGGAGACAACGGGAGAAAATGGGAGAATATGAGGTAATGGAAGACGATGGGAGGCGACGGGAGACAACCGGAGACAGTATCGCCTGACAGTTTCTGGATCCAGCAACGCACCTACAAGGTTCTTAGAATACTAGCGTATAACCCTTACAGACAAGCTAACGGGGGAACTAGACATGACGCATGATGGCAAACTTGTAGTAAGAAAGCGTCCAGATAAGTGCTGCACAGATACGTTGCTACCTACGCTGCCTACTGCATTTGGCTCGTTGTCCTTTTCCTGCTGTTCAATCGGTAGCGGTGGCCATCCTCCTTAGACCAGCAGGACTCCTTCCAAGACAAGAGAGACCGCGAATGTACCTGACTCGGCATCCCAATGCCGCACGGGCTGGACGGTGTAAGGCGTATCGGGACAAAGCCATGTGAACACTTGCCCAAAGACGTTGAGAATAACACTACGACCGACAAGAAACCTCGCGATACATCCAGGATCACGCTTGACACTGACATGGAATGGTTCCCCTAAAAATGGTGCATACAGCATGGAATCCTCATCTCGAGCGATATTCAGCGCTGATGCTCATCTATGTAAACAGATGTTGTTAGAACCAAATCCTAAAGGCTCTTGCAAAGCTGCGATTTGCTGAGGAGGGCCCAAACAAAAGTCTCCTTAAAACGAGCGGTGCAACGTATATGAAGTCGCTGAGCGCGAAGTGCGCCACGAGAGCAACGCAGTAGGTGAACTAGACATGAAGTCTGACATGCATGAAGCTGGGGAATAGTACATCATATACAAATATACAAATATAGAGTTGAAGAAATACCATGCCGAACTCAATGAAGCCTAGATGAGAAACGAACGGTGAATGAACCAGCCAGCTGTCAGCATCTGATTGCCAACGTATGCATAAGAGAAACGCCTCATACACATCGCACTTGATCTGCATCTTTGCTGGCACCAGCGCCCATGGTCGGATCAGCAATGCGCATCATGCACGCAGATGACACACTAGGCCGTGACGCATCGCAACTCTGCCGCTGATCATTGCAGGAAAGAGATTGCATCCCCCTGCGATAGGGACATAAATAGTTACGGCATGGCCCGGCGAGAACTTAGTCGAGGAACACACGCACAAAAGCTTGGAGGTGGGCGCAAATATGTTCGAAAACCCGTTGCAAGCCCTGTGCAAGCCCTATGATGACATTGGCCAAGCCGCGGGCTGCAGTTCCGCACGTGGAGGCCCTCTCTGTTGCTGCCCACTGAGCATGTGAGCTGCATTGGCGAGACTGGACTTGCACATGAACGTTGGTCTGACGAAACAATGCCCATCGGTCGCTGAAAGTAGGTATTTTGGGATTCCCAGATTCCAATCTACTTTAAGCGCCTTCCTACTTCAAAGATCGAGTGGCTTCACCTTTTCCGTCCTCTTTAGGGGGAGGGCGGACACCCAATCTACTTTCAACGCCTTCCTATTTCATGACTCGACCTGCTTCTTCCGACCGATGGGTAAGAGCGCAAAGCTTTGCGAAAAAAACGGGAATCGAATGTGCCTCCGTGAATCTCGGCGGGGGCAACACCTCACTATCTGCAGTCGGCTCCAACCCAACAAGCTATTCCTGAGCAAATTTGGCAAATTGTGGCTGACATGCCTTCATGCATTACGGAATCGAGTGGCCCTTAGGATCCCTGGAAGTCTCTACACGCCCAGGAGCCCCCTTTTCTCTGCAA